AATATATTAAAATTTTATTTAAAATTTATATTTAAAAAATCTAAAAAATAAAAGAATTAAATTAAAATTATTAAAAATAAAAAGAAAGACTACTTCTTAAGAAGTTAGGAACATTTATTCTTTGAGATTAATTATTATTATTTTTTTGAACATGGTTAATTCAAGATAGAGAGAAGGCGAACGAGTGGGGATTGAACCCCTTGTCCTTCGATAAGTAGTCCTTTAACGATGTTGAGGTGACTACGTGAGTCACCTTGGGTTTCTTGATTAATTAATTAATTAATTTTTTTTTTTAACTTAGTTGGATGACTGAAGAATAAATATTATCACTTATATTAAAGAACATTCCTTAATCTAATAGAATATTATTAAATTTAAATAATAATTATTCTTATATTTTTAAGTAATTTTTTTAAATTTAACTCAATTTTTTTAAATGTATTGGAGAACTAACTATTTGATATGATGAAGACTTAAATACTTAATTTTAATATTCAATCAAAAGTTTATTTTTTTATCAGAAAATTTTTAATTAATAGGTACAACTCAATATATTAAGTTATCAATTTTAAATTCACCTTAACAGAGTAGCAATTTGTGGCAACCAACCATTCAAAGGGATCAGCCTCACTCCAGCACTCTCCATTTCAACACCCTCTTTTTTATTACGTCACGTCACTTAGACCTTTACATCTTAGGTTAAAGCAGATTATAGTCCCTTTACTTCTAATTTTTATTTATTGTCCTCTTTATACTTATAAATCATTCAAATTTCTATCTCTACCATTCCCAATCATACTATCCCTCCCCTAATACCATTCATAACACTATTAAATACAATAATTTATGTTTTTTTGTTGTATTTTTTTGTGGCTTCATAAAATGTAATATGTCAAAATTTTCTAAAACCTTAAAATTTAAGTTAGAGACTTATACGAAAAAAATTATTTTTTTATAAGGCCTAATGATAACAAATTTCAAACTTAAGGGGGTGGAGTTAAAAAAAAAGCGGGGGGTGCGTGTTTCAGGAGTATAAACTCCCGATTTCCCCCATTTTTCGTTTTTTCTTCTTGTTTTGAAACGCTAAGCCGTCCCCACCATCCTCAATCCATCACCACCATTGTCCATCCTTCACCAACTCCCATCACCAATTCCACTCCAAACCCTCTCACCCACATCTCATAAATCCCCTAAGTAGCAGCTCATTGTTACCCACTCCACCACTGCCGCATGTTGCCTTCAACAACCTTGGGTTTCTCTTTTCAGCAAGCAGATGCTAGCCCCCCTCAAGTTTTGGTTATCTCTTCCTTTCGGGCTTCCACTTTAGGAGGAATCGTCTCTCTCACTCACAATTTTTTGGTAAAATTGAGCATGAAACCAATCTCGTTCTTTCTCTAATTTTGGTAGATTTAGTTGAATATTGACCATTTAGATTTGGGGAAATCGCATAGGATTTATGGGTATTTCCATTCTTTTATTTCCTTGAAAGATTGTGACAGTATTTGTCTAGTGTTTTGCTGCTGTTTTGCTTAGATTCTCCTGCTGTTTTTTTGGTCTTGAACTATCTGCTGTTTGTGTCCAGAATTTGTACATGTTGTGGTGCAGAATTTGCTGCAGTTTCTGCAACCTGTTTTGCTGCTGCATTTTCTGCTACCTGTTTTTCTGCTATATTTTCTGCAATCTGTTTTGCTGCATTTTCTGCAACCTGTTTTGCTACTGCATTTTTCTGCAATCTTGGCTGTTTTGGTGCTGCATTTTTCTGCAATCTTGACTGCTTTTGCTTTTGCTTTTGCATTTTGCTGCATTTCCCCAGCTGTTTTTGCACTGTTTTTAAACCAGAAAATTCTGTATTTTTCCCTAGAAAAATTCTGCATTTTTTCTGCATTTTTCCTTGCTGTTTTCTACATTGTTTTTCCCCAGAATTTTTCTACCATTTGCCAAGTTTTGCTGCTCCTTCGCCAAAAATGTTTGGAAGGTCAGCTGTCATCTTTGGAAATTTATATATGACTGTGCGTGTGAATTATATATATATATATATATACACACACGTAAGGTTTTGGTGGGTAGAATGGCAAGAGGAGATAGGGAGAAATTGCTCTTTGGGATAGAACTTGATGTTAGAATTAAAGATCAATTTTAGTTAAATAAGGCATGTTGTGATCCTGTTGTTCTTGATTATGAAATAGGTTCTAAGTTACCACCATCTCCTTGAAACCTTGAATACTTACTGTTGTAAGCTTACAAGAAGAGGTAAGTAAAAGTATGGTAATGTCTTTGGATTTGAGGTAAAGGTTTTTGAAAGCATATTTTTGATGGTTTTTGAAATGGTGGCGGGACTAAACCCGTTTTACATAAACACGAGTATGATTGGTTTGAAATAAAATTGTTATCATTTTCATTGAGTTCAGTATGCCTATTTGGAGTTTACTTAACTACCTTGACGATCTGAGAATTATTTGTAAATTATGATTTTCCTGTTAAATTCTGTCTGGTTTTGTCTCCAATATGGTCATGTTTTACTGTGCCTGCTAGTGGGAGGTTTATAAATGCTAGCACATGTCAACATGTATTCTTAAGAACCGATTCATCCTGTATTCCTGCCAGTGGGATAATACACTGGTTACTACTGTGCCCGCCAGTGGGAGGTTTATAAACACTGGTCATGACCTATAGAAGAGACGTCTATTTCATTCTTGTACTTGTAGTAGTTTTTCTTTGTACTTGCAGTAGTTTTTCTTGATACTTGATTACATTTATTGGCATGTTATAACTTTAATTAAGGGCAATTTATATTTTTACTTACCAAGTTATCTCACAGTTTTTCCTCGTCCACCATTTCAGGTACTAAAACCAAAGACGTGGGAAAACTGAGGGGAGTGACGAGTTAGACGGTTAGCCATTTGTGTTTCAAACTTAGATTATCTTGGAGTTAGACTAGCCACATATATTTGGACTTAGCTTATTTTGTAATTAGGTTTGTAGAAAAAAAATTTATTTTAGATTTTTGCAAAATTGTTCCATGGATTGTAGTTATGAATTTAATAAGTTCCGAACCTTGTATATTTGTGGCATCCTCTCACAAGTGTACGGTGTCTGTTTTCACCTTTGGATTTGGGTTTTGGGGCGTGACATAAAATTTCATAATGTCTTATTGATATGCTACATGTTCTATTAACATAAATAAAAATTACCACTCCCATTAATTTTGTACTCACTCTCTTTTTTGTCTTCAAAACTGTTATTAATAGTATTCTCATGCACAAACAATTGCATGTTTTAGTATTGAATTTTAGAGAAAAAAAATCATCCACTTACAATACTTCAAATGAGAGCATGGGACAAAGAACACCAGACTTTTTCTTTTAAATTTAAAAATAAAGAATTTCATGTAATTAAAAACAATATTAATAATTCATCAAATTTTAAACTCAAATCACCATATTCATTTCTTGCCATGCCAAAATTTGTACATAAAATTAAGAAATTTCAAAAAAAGAAAAAAGAAAAAAAAGGAGCAAGTTAAAAGCAATGCTTACTTCTTGCAAGCCAAATTCCAAATTCTCCAACACAAATTCTTATTTTTCTTCTTATTACTGTGACCTAATAAATGTAAACACAAAATCAGATAAAAAACAAACAATGAGTGATCCAAATCAGACTTAGATTAACAGTTATAAAATGTTATACTTAAACTCGAGAGCGATGGAGATCACTCTCATCGAAGCCAATAATAACCTCCTTGATGAAGTAGCAAGTAGAATTGAAATGTCTCCTTTCTTAGA